TCCAAATCCTCCAAAAGGAAAGATAGGTAAAGCTCAGCGAGCAAAGAGAGGAGAAAGCTGGATCCAGGGAAGCTGCAACTGCACGCCCTCCCCCAAACCGCGCAACCCTCGACCACAAAGCATGGCTGCAGCCCAATGCGATCCAGGGTCCCTGTCTCACAAAGCGAGCCGACCCAGAGTTTTCAGAAGCAGAAGCCGGCGGGTGCAGGAGAGTTCATTCTAGGCGCCTTTCCCAACGGAAGACGCGCTTCTTCGCCAGCCCCTGGAATTCAGAGGGATTCTCAGTCTGAACTACAGAAAGGGAACTGTTCTTCGCACTGGAGCTAAGGATGATCTTATTTTACTCAGAAGGCGGACGGCTGTAGCGCACGCTGGACAGGCGCACCGTAGGGCTATTTCTGAGCAGAGGGACCGAATGGCGCGCCAAGTCCAAGCAGCTTTCAGAGCGGAGAAAGACTCCGCATTTTAAGGCTGGGGGGGAGCTAATTTTAACCAAACCAGCGTTGCACAGAATTTATATGCAGGAGTATGCAAATCAGCCAATCAAAGGTCACTTTACCTTTTTGGGATCCGCGTAAGTCCCAAGTCCTATCACCGGGATAGCATTCCCGTCGTTCAGTATCAAGCGGTGGTTTTCGGCGGTGAACTGCATCCTGATGAGCGGCCGAGAGAACTTTTTTCCCCCCTCCCTTGCTTGCAACGGAACTCCCCCAGAAAGCGGCCGTCTTTTGTGCTCGCCAACGTGCTCTGGGTTACCGCCTGTTCCGTCGGAAGAGGGCACCAGAGAGCAGCGAAAGACCTCTGCAGAAGCCGCCGCCGGGGCACGCGCTCCCTCGGTTAAAGAGCGGAGCTGGCGACGCGACTGCCCTGGGATCCGGTCGGCAGAGCTCTTGGTAGGCAGCCCCTTGGGCAGAGACCGTCCGTGGTAGAAGTACATTGCGAAAGGATATTGCGAAAACGCAGCCATTGGCCTCTAAGTGACCTGGATAAGGGTGCGGTGGGACCTTAATCAAGGGGATGCAGAGAAAGGCCAGCAAAACTTTACCGAACTCCCTTTGCAAAGCTTAGTTTCAACCGCTGCGCGGAATGCACGTCGGAGCAGTTGGTGACCACCGTGCCTGACAACGTTGAAGGGTAGAGTGCAGGATGAAAAGTTCAGCAGTGTGACTTCTCCTCGGCCATCACTGAAAGGAAAAGCTGCGCTGAGCGGGTTATGGAGTTACGCCTGTTCTGGATAGCTTCTGTGTCTTCAGCTGGACAACAGAATGATGAGAGGAACCTCTACTTGAGATTCTGGAAAGCCAATAACCCAGGCACCCTTGGCCACTGGAAGATGTGTGGACTTCAACACCCAGGATTTTCCCCCCCCCCCGACCTTGGGCTGGGGGCTGTTGGGGGGACAGGTCACAAACACACATATTACAGCACTGCTGGGAAAAGAAACAAA